TTTTTTTGCACGACTGGCGGGGCTTACAGCTAGGGTGGCGTCAAATCATTATGCACGTGGTGCCCCAAGCCCCAAGGCGTCACGGTTGCCCTTCGCAGACAGAAATCAGGAGGGAAAGAAACACACAGACACAAATAATCGTCGATCCCCAGGAAAATATGGGAAAATATGGGAAGTGGGGGGGAAGACAGAAACCCAGAAAATATGGGAAAACTATGGGGGGTATTTTTTATTTGTGTGTATTTATTTGTGTGTTCTGGAGCCCCTTGAAGAAAAGCCGTGTTGCGAAGCGTTTGTTCCTTGGGTGGGCTCCTCAGTACAGGGGGGGGACCATCGGGGACCCGCGCCCAGCGGCGCCTGCTTGATATCTCGAGCCTGCCGCCCGTTTTCCAGAGGATCTCTTATCGAACCGCCATCATGACGTGGGGGTGGAGGCCTGGGAGCCTGGTGGGCGGGGAGTTTGGGGGAAGGGTGGACGAGGCCCAGCCTTCGGCGCGTTTGTGGCCTCTCGGCCCAAGGCGTCGCGAGCTGGAGCGAGAAACTGGATAGAATCCACAAGCTCAGGAGGCGTTCTCCTGACAATGAATCTCTGGAGTAGTTATCGGCTGATTTGTCTCTCTCTTTTTTTTTTTTTTCTCTCTCTCTCTCTCTCTCTCTCTCTATATATATATATTGTTATATCCCAGCCGTGCATGTGTCATGCTCCTGGGTGAGGGGCGGATTGCCGGTCGCTGCTATGTGTCACACAGAAAACAGAAACAGAGGAGGGAGGAGGAGGACGAAAAGGAGGAGGAGGCAGAGGAGGAGGAGGAGGAGGAGGAGGAGGAGAGAAGAGGAGGAGGAGGAGGAACGAGGAAAGGAGGAGGGAGGAGGAGGAGGAAAAGGAGGAGGAGGAGGAGAAGGAGGAGGGGAGGAGGAGAGGAGGAGGAGGAGGAGGGAGGAGGAGGAGGAGGAGGAGGACGCCCACGACGAAGGGTGCGCCGCGGTCGCGCTCCGTGTGGAGCGCAGCGGCGCCGCGCTGATCTCGAGGCGCAGTGCCGCTCGAGGCGGCGGCGCCCGGCGCCACGCGGGGATGCGCGGCCGGGCTGGCGCGCACCGTCGTGCGCGCGGGGCTCGTTGCTCTCTCTTCGCTCGCGCTCGCCGTGGCTCCCGCCGCCGGAGCACAGTCGAGACGTCGAGACGTCGAGACGTCAGCATCCTCACCAGTCTTATCATCCTCCTCCCCTCCTCCTCCTCCTCCTCCTCCTCCTCCTCCTCCTCCTCCTCCTCCTCCTCCTCCTCCTCCTCCTCCTCGCACCTCTGCATTCTCCTCCTACTTCCTCCTCCCTCCTCCTCCTCCCTCCTGCTCCTCCTGCTCCTCCTCCTCCTCCTCCTCCTCCTCCTCCTCCTCCTCCTCCTCCTCCTCCTCCTCTTCTCGCACCTCTGCATTCTCTCTATGTCTGTTTGTCGTGGTGGCGGTCGTCGTCGTCGTCGTCGTCGTCGTCGTCGTCGTCGTCGTCGTCGTCGTCGTCGTCGTCGTCGTCGTCTTTGTCGAGTACAATCAAGACGTTGAGATGAGGGGGCCCTGGCTTTCGGGCCGTTCCTCGGGGCTGGGCGGGGGGGCCCGTGCGTGGCCGAGGCCCGCCGTGGCCAGATGTGGCCACGCCGGTTTCTCACTCGGCGTCCCTTCTTGGGGCAGCGCGACGACTGTGCAGGCGGGCATCTGGTTGTGGAGGGCGACCAATGGAGAGGAAGCGCGTTGCCAAATAGTTGCCCTAAAACGTGTGTTAAACATGTGTTAGGCATGTTTCACACATGTAAAAGTCATGTGTCAAGCATGCTTAGAGCATGTTTCCTACATCCTAAACGCGTACTTAATTCAATGATTTCGACGATAGGACTGTTAGGGTGTCCATTGTCGTGGCATCCACAAGCATTCGGTTGAGAAGCCTCCTCCCGAAAAAGCTGGGCCAGCGCTCCTTAACCAAATTGCCAGAAAGCTGGCCCAGCTTCGCGAGCACGCTCGCCCCTCCGGCGTCAACAGCCGAACTCTGCCCAGGTCTGCTCCAAGACACTTCCAGGACTTGCTTCAAGTCGGGCCCGTCCCTCTACAGGAGGAATATTCAAAAATAGTCGCAAAATAGTACGGGGACTATGTTGAAGAATGTTCTAATCATGTTGGAGCATCTTTGCCGTATTTGTGGTTTCTCGTCGAAAATCCCCCTGTCGGGGGGACACGCCCGACTGAAGACTCGCTGGGATCCGTCCGCTGCCTCGGGCCCCCGAGCGCCTCCGCGCGCGCGCGGGGGGGGGGAGGCGAGCACTACAAGCTCTCGAGGCAGGCCGACCTGGACTTCCAGTTCTCCATGGGCCGGGTCGCGGACAGCTCGGTGGGCGCTGGGGGGGGTGCAGGGGGCGGCCTCCGGCCTCCGTCCTCGTCCTCGTCCTCGTCCTCGTCCTCGTCCTCGTCCTCGTCCTCGTCCTCGTCGCGCGCTCCTGCGCGCGGGAGCGGGCGCGCGCGGGGGGGGGGGGGGAGGGGGAGGAGGGCGCGGGGGGCCGACGGGCTGGGCCGAGGGCCCCAGGGGGCCCCAATGACCCTAGGATCTGGCACGCCGTGCGTCCCTGTGGCGAGCCACAGGGAGCGGCGGATCGAGGACGCCTGGTCCAAAAATATTCAAAAGTAGCCAAAGATAGTAGAAGCATCGTCCCCCGAGCATCTTTTGTGACTATTTCGTAATATTCCTCCTGTAGAGAGACACGCCCGCGGCGAGTCTCCCTCCCTCTTGCCTTCTGGAAGTGCCTAGGTGGCCGAACGTTGTGGCCAGAGCTCGGCCAAGCCAGCGGCACACGTGTTCCTCCAGCCGCTGTGGAAAGGCTTCGGGGAACAAGCGGTGGAGGAAGGAGAAGAGGAGAAGAGACCTCGTCGGGCTTTCCTAGAGGTTCTCTCGGAGGCTTCTTGGGGGCCTCTTGGGCCATCTCGGGCCGCTCTGCATGCATGTTCGGCCGTCTTTGAGACATCTTGAGGCCATCTGGGGTTCTGTTGGGGTCATCGTAGCCGTCTTGGAGACCATTCGGCCGTCTAGGAGGCCGCCTTGGGGCCGTCTGCAGCGCGAAGACCGATGAACTGGAACATGCACGTGCCCGTGAGGGGCGGGAAGACCGACGACCTGGGGAGCTTACGTGCTCCATTTCGTGCCGGCGGGATGGGCCGAATTCTCCTCCTCCTCCTCCTCCCCCTTCTCCTCCTCCTCCCTCCTCCTCCTCCTCCTCCTCCTCCTCCTCCTCCTCCTCCTCCTCCTCCTCCTCCCTCCTCCTCCTACTGCTCCTCCGGCTCCTCCTCCTCCTCCTTCCTCCTCCTCCTCCCCTCCTCCTCCTCCTCCTTCTCCTTTCTCCTGCTCCTCCTGCTCCTGCTCCTCTTCTCCTCCTGCTCCTCCTGCTCCTCCTGCTCCTCCTCCTCCTCCTCCTCCTCCTCCTCCTCCTCCTCCTCCTCCTCCTCCTCCTCGACTGGCTAGAAGCCTTAAGACGATCCAAGATCTGCCGAACGTTCGGTACGCCGCGCGCCCCTGGGGCCGTTGGATGGCCTTCGTCGGGGCCTGCCTGGGTAGCCTCCTGGGCCGCCTTGACGGTCTCCGGGGCCGTCGTGGAGCCATCTTGGAAGCAGTGGCGAAGCGTCCTGGCGTGCCTATAGGCCTACCAAAAGACTGTTCTAAGAACCTTTTTGTGGCTTCCACGAAATGCTCTTCGAACATTTCTGGCTGGGACTGTCCTGTTTTCACGCATCGGGCTCGTGTTCTAAGAACATTGTTTTTGTTCTTGGAACATTTCTGGGTTCTAAGAAGATGTCGCGGTAGGTCTATAGGAATGCCTGGACGGTCGGTCCCTGCTCAAGTTTTGGAAGCCTCTTTGGCGAGCGATTTTTCGGGAGATCGTGGAGACCTCCTGGGCCGTCGGGTGGTTGAAAAGGAGAGAAGCCCCAAACCCTCCAGCAGCATGAGGAAATCAATGAGTTTGGCTCCCTCGGGTTTTCCTGTATGTAGTGTTGGAAAGTGTTGGAGGCCGCTAGGGCTGTCTTGCAGGCCTTTGGGGGGCGTCTTGGGCAACATTGAGGCCATCTTATGCCGTCTTGGGTGCATCTTGGGCCGTCTTGGAGGCCTCTTGGGGCCCTCTTGGTCATTCTGCCGTCATCTCGAGGCCATCGTGGGCCGTCATGGGGGCTTCTTGGGCAAACTTGGAGGTGTCTTGGACGCTCTGGGGCCGTCGTGGAGGCCATCTTGGACCATCTCGGCCGAACTGAACGGCCATCTGGGCCGTCTTGGAGGCCATGTCGTGCCATCTTCTTGGGGCCCTCTGGAGAGGGAAGACTGTCTGCAGCCACCTCTGGGCAAGCCCTCCGGGTGGCCGGCGCGCTGGGCCGAAGCCCCCGGGGGAGTTCTTTTGAAACAAGAACCAAAACCAAGCCGAGCATACAACCCCGTGCGAAAAGCAACTGGGGTTTGGTGAGCTTCCCGGCCCCCGAATTTCAATGTTCATCGTGCGACCAGCGAAGTTCGAAAAAAAATCGACCCCGCGTTGAACATTGAAATTGGGGGGTGCGTGGGGTGGGGTGTGTGTGTGTGTGGGTGTGGGGGGGGGGGTACGAAAACCCCAGTTGCTTTTCGCACGGGGTTGTAGGATCCAGCACGCCAGGAACCCTTGTGGCAAGACCGCAGGGGGCGGCGGATCTGGTGGCCTTCGGTCCATCCCGCCACCGTGCCCGGGTGGTCGGTGAGAGGCCCCGTGGATGCCTGTGAGGGTCTTTTGGGGAGAGCTCTCGGAAGCCTCTTGGAGGCGATTTCAAGGGTGTTTGGGGGCGTCTCGGGGGCCTCGTGGGGCCTCTTGGGGCCTGATTTGGGCATCTCGGGGCCTCGGGCCCTTGGGGCCCCTTGGGGGCACCTCGGGGGCCTCTCGGGGGATCCTGGGGCCATCTTGTGGCGGAGGGCTCAAAACGTCAGTTCGTGTTCCCCCTCTTGGGCTCTCTCGGTAGCCTCTTGGGCTGTCTTGGTCGGCTCAAGAGCATTTCGAGCATTTTCTCCCGAGGAGCTGTCTGGATTGGCGCTGGCAACGCGCTTCCGCTGGCGATGGCAGACGCCATATGGCCGAGCCTCTTCGAGAGCGCCAAGGCTGCGAAGTCCACACACCTGCGAGACCTTCTCAGGGACGAGGACCGCTGCTCTTCCATGATGGTGGAGGCGGAGGGCGTCGTCCTCGACTACTGCCGCCAGAAGGTGACCGCGGACGTGATGAGCCAGCTGTTCGCGCTCGGCAGGGCGATGGACGTGCAGGGCAAAGCGAAGGCCATGTTCTCGGGGGGCAAGATCAACGAGACCGAGAAGCGGGCGGTCGGCCACGTGGCGCTGCGGGCCCCCAGGGGCGAGCGCATGGAGGTGGACGGCAAGGACGTGGTCCCCGAGGTGCACGCCGTCCTCGACTCGATGGCCAGCTTCTCGTCGAAGGTGCGAGGAGGGGAATTCGTGGGCTTCACCGGGAAGCCGTTGACGGATGTCGTGTGTATTGGCATCGGCGGATCTTATCTGGGAGTGGAGTTTGTGTTCGAGGCGCTCAAGACGCACGCCGCGGCAGCAGAGGCTGCGAAGGGCCGGCAGCTGAGATTTCTCGCCAACGTCGATCCCATCGACGTGAAGAGGGCGCTGCAAGGCCTGAACGCCGAGACCACGCTGGTGATCGTGATCTCAAAGACCTTCACGACGGCGGAGACTATGCTGAACGCCCGCACGGTCAAGGCCTGGCTGATCAAGGAGCTGGGCAGCGACGCAGCTATTGCAAAGCACGTAGTGGCGTGCTCCACTGCCCTGGAGAAGACGAAGGCCTTCGGCATCGACAGCGCCAACGTCTTCGGCTTCTGGGACTGGGTCGGAGGGCGCTTCTCGGTGTGCAGTGCCGTGGGCGTGCTTCCGCTCTCTCTGCAGTACGGCTTCGACATCGTGCGTGAGTTCCTGGACGGCGCCCATGCCATGGACAAGCACTTCAGCACGGCGGCCCCAGAGCAGAACCTGCCCATGCTGCTGGGGCTCCTGACGGTCTGGAATGCCACGTGCCTAGGCTACGAGGGCTACGCGGTGCTGCCGTACTGCCAGGCGCTCGTGCGGTTCGTGGCGCACATTCAGCAGCTGGACATGGAGAGCAATGGGAAGCGTGTCCAGATGGACGGAACCGTGTGCCCCACTTCGACGGGCGCGATATATTTCGGCGAGCCAGGCACCAACGGGCAGCACTCCTTCTACCAGCTGATGCACCAGGGGCGCACCATCCCCGCGGACTTCATCGGGTTCAAGGTGTCTCAGCAGCCCATATCCCTGGCGGGGGAGCCGGTCGCGAACCACGACGAGCTGATGTCAAACTTTTTCGCGCAGCCCGACGCGTTGGCCATTGGGAAGACCGAGGAGGAGGTGCGCGCCGAGGGGGTGCCCGAGGGCCTCGTGGCGCACAAGGCCTTCCCCGGCGACCGGCCCTCGAGCTCGATCCTGATGCCCGCCTGCAGCCCGCGGTACCTGGGCGTGCTCCTGTCGCTGTACGAGCACCGGACCGCTGTGCAGGGCTGGGTCTGGGGCATCAACTCCTTCGACCAGTGGGGCGTCGAGCTCGGCAAGGTGCTCGGCGTCAAGGTCCGGAAGTACTTGAGCGAGGCTCGCAGTGGGGCGGGCGACGCGTCCGTGTTCCAGAGGCCGACGCAGAGGCTTCTGGGCGAGATGCTGGCGGCGCCGGCCCCAGGGGGAGCCGGCCAGCCGCAGTCCATCGTGTCCATGCGGGCCCGTGAGATCTTCGACTCCCGCGGCAACCCCACGGTGGAGGTCGACGTCTGCACCGAGGTGGGGCTCTTCCGCGCCGCGGTGCCCAGCGGAGCGTCGACGGGCATCTACGAGGCCCTGGAGCTGCGCGACGGCGACCAGGGGCGGTGCCTGGGCAAGGGCGTGCTGAAGGCCGTGGCCAACGTGAACGACATCATCGCCCCGAAGCTGATCGGCATGGACGTCACCCGCCAGGCGGAGATCGACAAGCTGATGGTGGAGACGCTGGACGGCACGAAGAACGAGTGGGGCTGGCCGTCAAGGGAGGAAAAGCCACCCGGGCCCGATACGTGGCGTCTACGAAATGGCCCTGGGCGTTCCTTAGACGGCCCTGCCCTGTTCGAGTCCTTGTGTGGGTGAGTTTACCAGGCGGCTTCGCGTGTCGGGGTGACTATTACGGTGTGGGCGTTCGTTAAGGAACGTGCCCAGGAGGCTTCAGACCCTGGAGGGTTCCTTATCTGATGAGCGCGGCGGTGATATCCATAGCCAATCCACGATTGGCTTTCCACTGGCTTCCAGACCCTGGATTCCTTATCGAAGGTTTCCTTATCCAATGTCCTCACCGTATGGGGATGGATTTGCTGCTCTCCAGGTCGAAGTCCAAGCTCGGCGCCAACGCCATCCTCGCGGTCTCCATGGCGGTCTGCCGAGCGGGGGCCGCCGCCAGCGAGATGCCGCTCTACCAGTACATCGCCGCCCTGGCCGGCAAGCCCACGGACAGGTTTCAAGTCGGGCCTGTCCCTCCACACGAGGAATATTCAAAAAATACTAGAAATAGTATGGGGACGATTATTCTAGCATTTTTGTTGGCAATGTTTGTGTTTGTTTCGTCGAAAATCCGCCTGTAGGAGGACATGCCCGACCTAAGACAGGTTCGTGATGCCCGTGCCCTCCTTCAACGTCATCAACGGGGGCAGCCACGCTGGGAACCGGCTGCAGGGGAACGAAGAATGGCAGAAACGTAATATCAGCCAGCGTTGACGCCAAATATATTCGACGACTCAAATCAAGGAATCAGGGGAATCAAGCATGCTTGGAATCCGCACCTCAGCAAGCAAGCAAGCGTGCAATCAAGCGTGCAAGCAAGCAAGCACACAAGCAAGCAAGCAAGCAAGCAGTCGTGCAAGCGCGCAAGCAAGCAAGCAAGCAAGCAAGCAAGCAGGTAGGCATAGGCATAGGCGTAGGCATAGGAGTTAGGGCGGAGGCATAGGCATAGGATCACCAGGTCTACTAAGCCTCTGCGCCCCCCAGTGTCTGGGCGGGCCGCCGTCGCCGAATCTGTTTTTTGTGAAGTGCACCTAGTGTTCGGGACCGCCGCCGCCGCCGCGAGTTTGTGGCGGGGTCTCCGGTCGAGCTCGCCCGCCGCCGAAATGCCAGGATCACCCCTGGTTACGAAGGGCGCCGCCTTGGGGCGATATTGGTGGCCTTGGGGCGACATTGGTGGCCTCTTGGGTCGTCTTTCAGCATTCGAAGCCCGGGCTGGCAAGGACGCTCGAACCTACGAGGGGGAGGGGGAGGAGGAGGAGGAGGAGGAGGAGGAGGACGAGGAGGAGGAGGAGGAGGACGAGGAGGAGGAGGAGGAGGAGGAGGAGGAGGAGGAGGAGGAGGAGGAGGAGGAGGAGGAGGGGAGGAGGAGGAGGAGGAGGAGAAGGAGCAGGAGGATGAGGAGGAGGAGGGGGGAGGAGGACGAGGAGGAGGAGATGGAGGACGACGACGAGGAGGAGGAGGAAGAAGAGGGGGAGTACGAGGAGGAGGAGGAGGCGTATCGGGCTCGGGCTCGGGTTCGGGGGGTCTGTATCGGGCTCGGGCTCGGGCTCAGGTTCGGGTTCCGGTTCCGGCTCCGGGTCGGGCTCGGACTCGGGTTCGCGCTCGGGCTCGAGCTCCGACTTGGGCCTGGGTTTGAGGTCGGGCTTGGGTTCGGGCTCGGGTTCGGGCTCGGGCTCGGGCTCGGGGTCGGGCTCGGGCTCGGACGCGGGGTCGGGCTCGGGCCCGGGCTCGGGCTCGGGCTCGGGCTCGGGCTCGAGCTCGGGCTCGGGCTCGGGCTCGGGCTCGGGCTCGGGCTCGGGCTCGGGCTCGGGTCTGGCGTGAGTGGCGTGAGTGGCGTAAGTGGCGTAAGCATTCGTTTATTACATGCGTAAAGTGAATCCGTTTTCTATTTTTTCAAATATGTTATTTTGTTTGCATCGTATACTACACATAGTGTGTGCAGAGTCGGTCGTCGTCGTTTTTTTCAGTGCCACCTTTCATTTGTGCAATGTCTCGCCGCCAGTTTTTTTGTACCACCTACTTTGTGTCCGGGGCGTCGGCCGCCAGATTTTGGGACCCCCCTGCATAGTGTTTTATGATTGTTTTTCGCCGCCGTGGGAATTCCCGTGAATAGCTTTTCTACAGTGTCGACCTGGTGCATAGGCATAGGCATAGGCATAGGCATAGCCATTGGAATCAGGGGGGGCGTAGGAATTAGGGGGGGGGCAACGGATCAAGTAGTAGGGTTCGAGCTAGGACTCCTACAGGGCAAGCCTATTTGGAGAACAACTCGGAGGTCCGCGCGGATTTCTCGGATCCGCGCTGGGCCCCCCTGGCGGCGCCTTCGGCGCGCCGGGCAGGGGGTCCAGCGCGGCTCCAAGACATCCTCGCGGTCCTCCGAGTTTTTATGTTTACGGTAGGTTCGTGTCGTGTCGACTGGCGGCGACCCCGCCAGCGGCGTTCAACGTTGAACGCCGCGGGCGACCCAGAATCGTTCGATGTGCAACGATCTGGACGCTTCGGAAACGGCCGGTCGTTCAAGGTTGAACGATCCCCGCGGCGTCAGAGACCAACGCCGAAGTCGGCACGACACGAACCTGACGTATGCCATTTTGCGTCCCCCGAGGCTGGCATGCCAGGAGTTCATGATCTTGCCGACGGGGGCGTCCAGCTTCAAGGAGGCGATGATCATCGGCGCAGAGGTGTACCACACGCTGAAGGGAGTGATCAAGAAGAAGTACGGGCAGGACGCGTGCAACGTTGGCGACGAGGGCGGCTTCGCTCCTGGAGTGCAGGACAACAGCGAGGCCCTGGACGTGCTCATGGAGGCCCTCGCGAAGTCCGGGCACGCGGATAAGGTCAAGATCGGAACGGATGTGGCGGCGTCGGAATTCTGGAAGCCCGAGATCCAGAAGTACGACCTGGACTTCAAGAACCCCGCCGGAAGCAGCCCAGAGATGCAGAAGACCGCCGATGAGATGATCGAGTACTACAAGGCGTGGTTTGCCAAGTACCCGTTTGTGTCCATCGAAGACCCGTTCGACCAGGACGACTTCCCAGCGTACACCAAGTTCTGCGAAGCGGTTGGCAGCGGCATGCAGATAGTCGGAGACGACCTGCTCGTCACCAACCCGACGCGCGTGAGGAAGGCGTTGGGATGCAAGGCCTGCAACGCGCTGCTCCTGAAGGTCAACCAGATCGGATCCGTCACCGAGGCGATCGAGGCCGCCACCATCTCGATGGCCGCCGGCTGGGGCGTGATGGTGTCGCACAGGTCTGGGGAGACGGAGGATGCTTTTATCGCCGACCTCGTGGTGGGCTTGCGCACAGGCCAGATCAAGACCGGCGCGCCGTGCCGCTCCGAGCGGCTCGCCAAGTACAACCAGCTGCTCCGCATCGAGGAGGAGCTGGGCGGGCTGTGCTCCTACGCCGGGCTGGACTTCCGCTGCCCGGCCTGACCGCTGTGTGCCGCGCGGCCCAAGTTTCGGAGGCCGGAGGCCTCTTAGCCTTGTTATGCCGTCCTGCTGTTTCGCGCCGGTCTCGTAGTTTGATTTGCGCGCGCACTTGTAGAAGTGTGCACTGTTAGCGCGGACGTAGCAAGGCATAGGCGAAAGGTGCTTGCATCGTTTTTCAGGCGACCAGTTGTTAGGGTGCTGTGCGGATGTCTCTTGCAGTCAGAAACAAAACTCTAAGGCCCCTCTTGGAAGCCCTCGGGCCGTTTTGGGGCGATCTTGGGCGCCCAGAGCACCAAAAAGGCAGTACTGCTAAAACCATTTGCAATGGTCATTTGTAACGATTTGGGGCTTTTAGGGGCCGCCTTCAGGGGCCTCCAGGACGGCCCAGGAGGCGCACAAATTGGCTCCAGGACGGTCCTCGAGTCCATCTTTGAGGAGGAGGAGGAGGAGAAACTAGGAGGAGGAGGAGGAGGAGGAGGAGGAGGAGGAGGAGGAGGAGGAGGAGGAGGAGGAGGAGGAGGAGGAGGGAGGAGGAGAAGGAGGAGGAGGAGGAGGGAGGAGGAGGAGGAGGAGGAGGAGGAGGAGGAGGAGGAGAAAGCTCTAAGTGGGGTGCCGCTCCAGCGCGTAGATCTTACGATGGAAACCTCTCCTGAAGCTTCTCATACTGCAGACACGGATCCAGCAACGCGCGACGTTCGCTCCGGCAGCAAACCTTTCGGAGGGCAGCACTCCACCAGCCCGCGTGATGCGCGCTCCCAGCACTGCACTTTTCAGAGAACGCGACCGTTGCAGCAGCCCTCCTCCTGCTCCTCCTCCTCCTCCTCCTCCTCCTCCTCCTCCTCTCCCCCTCCTCCTCCTGTTCCTCCTCCTGCTCCTCCTCCTCCTCCTCCTTCTCCTCCTCTTCCTCCTCCTCCTCCCTCCTCCTCCTCCTCATCCTCCTCCTCCTCCTCCTGCTCCACGGCGCGCGCTCCAGCACCGGATTTTTCACAGAACGCGATCGTTGCAGCAGCCCGCGGCGCGCGGTCTCCAGCACGGCATTGTTTGCAGGGCGCGGGCGTTCCAGCAGCCCACGGCGCGCGCGTTCCTGCGCGGCATCGTTTTTGTTGCCGAGCGCAGGCGTGCGAACCTGGGCCTCAACGAACGCAGACGAGCCCACATACAATGGAGACCCATACCAAGAAACACCCTGCTTGCCTCCAGGGTGCCCTGGATTTCCTGGGTTTCGGTGGCCTTGCGATGGAAAGAGTGCTTTTCCCACACCAGAAGTTTATTGATGTCCTTGGGTCTCCGGGTTGGGTTTCTTGTGGAAGGTTTCTTCTGGATTGGCCCCCACTGTAGTCAAACCTCTCATTCGCAAAATATTCAAATGCTTGTAGTTTGACGCGTTGTCCACTCCAAAGGCCGGGCACTTCGCTTCACGGCACAGGTCAAAAGTTATTCCGGCCAGTGCCCGCTCTCATTCGCAAAATAGTTAATTGGTTGTAGTTGGACACGCTGTCCACTCCAAGGGCCGGGCACTCCGCTTCACGGCACAGACCAGAAGATTACCCCAGCCAGTGCCCGCCAGGATGAAGCGTATTGTTTGCGCCCCCGCGCTGTCTAGCCCGCCCTGGCTGCTGGTTCCCGATCGAGGCGCGCCGTACCCTTACATATGGCTTAATACCGTCCACTTGCAAACCAGGTGCCCTGGCAACAGTTCTTTGTAACGGGTGCGGAGGCGGCCGTCTCGTGTAAGTTGTTAAACATGCATGTCCGTGTGGGTCTGGTCCCATCAGGCGTCGGCACACTGCACACATCACTTCGCCGGCTCGGGAGGTCCACAGCCACTCGGTCTCAAGGGGCCCTGGGGTGAAGCGCGCCTTCGTTTGCGCCTGCTTACTGCAGCATTCTTCTCTCTCTGCAGCGCTGCTCTTTTGGCGAGCGAGGCCCATGTCGTGTGGTCGCTCGCCGTCGCCTCAGAAGACGCCATCTGCGCCAAGCCGTGGAACGTCACCGGAGCCCTACTACGGCCCCGTCGACGCGCCCCCGCCGTTGCTGGTTGACCTGCCCCCGCCGGTGCAGCAGTGGAAGGCCGCCCCCTTTCTGCCACAGGTGATGCACCCGTTGGTCAATGTGCGGACGATCGTGTGCGCCAAGTGCTCGGCCAGCGATCTGGCCGACCTCGACGTCGTGCACAAGCTCGCGGCGGCGCCTGAGCGCCAAAGACGGCTTAAGAAGGCAGCGCAGCTCTCCCTCGTGGCATTCATGATGCCCGCTGGCGGGAACAGAGAGCGCCTGAAGTCGGAGATGGGCGGCTCCATGGCGCCTATGCCTGGCCTATCGACTCCAGGTTGCGCAGACGACTGGCCACGCAACTACGTGCTCACAGGGTCGGACGTGAACATATTCGTGCAGGGCGGATTAGAGAGCGCCGTGCAGAAGATGCAGCTGAACGACAGGATAAACGGCCTCGAGCTTTTGCAGCGCAAGAGGCTGCAGAACCTCGACGTGTTGCAGTTTACTTTCTCGTGCAACAGTGTCGACGTCAAGCATGTCCCAGAGTTCCAGTCTGAAATCATAGTGGTCAGCACGGACGACGAGATGAAGTGCCTAAAAGGCCGACAAGAGGCCTTCCGCAAGGTGTTTCGAGACCAACGGGTCCAACTGGAGGTATCTTTTGGCGACGCAGGCATGCTCGCTTTCGACGCCTACATCTACCTCCTGAAGGCCTTCGCCAAAACTATGCCAGAGGGTGCGCTGTCCTCCTTCCAGGCGGTATCGTTTGGCCTGTTCGTGCTCCAGCTGGGGCTTTACAGACATGTCCCTGGCACGGCCGCGCAGCCCACCGCACTACTCCTCTTCGAGTGCTTCCTCCGATGGTGCGGCGTGTATTTCAGCAGCCAGTGGAACAGCGACCAGAAATTGAAAAACTATAGATTCAGCGCCCTGGACCTGTCAACTGGTAGTCTCACGTTGCGGACGAGGAGCCAGACTAAATGTGAGGCCTACTTCGTGGCAGACGAGGTACACTCCTTGCACACGCATTCAGCGGACAGGCTGAACATCGCTGGGTCGATCAGCCCGCAGGTGGTTCACGACGCTGCACATCTAGCATTGGTGTCGCATCTTAGTGTCGCAAATGGTGAGCTGGTGTACGGCTGACTTGTGCGCACTATTTTGTTACTAACTTATGCTTTCGGGCCCCTCGCTCGTTTCAAGGTGGCCCCCCACAACCCTGCAGCGGAAAAGTCCCCCTGGGAGCCAGGAGAGGTCCCCAGGAGCGCCACAAGATCCACCGACGGCGCAAGAAGTCTTGTGGCCAGCCGCACATCGCCGGGGCCCACATCTACAAATTTCTGGCCAGCCGCATGGCGGCAAGGCTCTTGTGGCCAGCCGCACATCAACGGGGCCCACATCTACAAATTTCTGGCCAGCCGCATGGCGGCAGGGCCCGCATCTCTGCTTTCAGGCCCCTTCGGGCAGACTCTATATTTGAGTTTGACGGCCTGCCATAAGAGCTACCGACCAGCCTTTCTTCATGACGCGTCAGGCTGGACAAAACGCCATCGTCACTGTCGCCAGACGATGGGTCATACAGCCCCGAACGGACCCATTCTTGAATGCGCCCGTGCGGTCCCAGCAGAACTCGCATGGACGAACCCGCCTAGGGCGACGAAGTTTCGAAGCAACTGGCGTCAGGCGGTAAGACCTAACGATTCGGATACATGATGGGTCTATCCACCTTGTCGGCGCCCCTGACTGATGGTAAAGGGAAGCAAGTAATGGACACTCCCTCTCCCCAAAATTCAAAGTTGGCACGCGCGGCGAAGACTGCGGTCGACGTGCACCTCGTCAGAGCCGCCGCCAACCCTGGACCTCTGGGGCGGAAGGGGGGGGGGCACCGACGGATGAATCTGGCATGAGTGTGCGCTACAGTCGAGGCGTTGACCCAAGGAACCCTGAATAAGGAACGAGGCCCCTTTGTCCCATAAGTTCAACCTCGATCTCCCATGGAAAACCTCAGGAACACCCAAGGCAAACTTTGAAACACTCAGGGAGCACAGAGCCCCTCCCCCACGAGAAGGGTTCCTTCTTCAGCGCCCCGACTGTATCTGTTTCGGAGACTTCGACGCCTCGCTTCGGTGGCCTTCCGCCGGCTTCTGCTGCCCGCGGAGCCGCCGTGCTGCTTCCGCCGGCCTCCGCTCGCCCTCCGCCTGCTTCTGCTCCGGAGGGCGGGGACGGGCCGAGGGCAAAGCCCCCCCGGGAGCGCGCCGCGCGGGAGCCCGCGCCAAGGCAGCAGTGCTGGAGGAGGGAGGAGGAGGGGGAGGAGGAGGAGGAGAAGGAGGAGGAGGAGGAGGAGGAGGAGGAGGAGGGGGAGAAGGAGGAGGAGGAGGAGGAGGAGGCGGAGGAGGAGGAGGAGGAGGAGGAGGAGGAGCCAGAGGAGCCAGAGGAGCCGGAGGAGGAGCCGGAGGAGCCGGAGGGTGTCAACGCCACTGTTAGGGGGGGGGGATGGGCTCACGGGGGGAACGGGTTCGAGGTTCGCGCTGTTTTGGGACGTTTCCGTCGGGCCTCGACGGCTTTCCAGTCTCGAGGTGCCTTCCGGCGTCTGCGCCTCGCCGACGGCGACTCCAGAGGTCCGGCTCGCATCCTGATGGCGCGGTGGGGAGACCGATGGGTGGAGTTCCACGTGTCCCCCTGGAGGCCCTGGAGGTAGCTGAGGTGAAGGCTCGCCTGAGCACGTCCCGATGGTTGCGAAACAGCGCCTTGTCCAGACTCTGAGACGCCTCGGATCGTCGGAGCATCGGGGTCGAGTCGGATCGAGCTGGCTGGAATCGATGTCGAATCGGACCGATCAGATGGGAATGGGCCCAGAGCCGAGGCCCGTGTCCCACGGAATCCGCCCGGCTCCCATCTCTCCCGCGGGCCGCCCAGCCACAGACGGGCAGCCGCCGGGCCACTCTTCGCTGCAGCTGGCGGCACTTGCAGTAGGCCGATCGGCAGCAGACCGCGGGGCTGCGCCCGGGGAGCGCCGCACTGCTCCTGGCTCGCTCCGCAGCTAGGGTGCCACCGTACGCGCCGGCCGTCGAACGCTGTTTTGGGGCTCCAAGACCCCGACCTGCTTCAAAAGCGCCGTCCTACTGCAAGAGCCGCCATGCCTTTGCTGTGCTCTGCTGTTCCCTGGGAAGGACTGCTACCAATCTACTTGATCCGCCTTCCTACTCTCACCACCCACCAAACCACCCCAACCCAACCCGCGGGCCTCAATCTGCCCTCCACTTCCAGTGCGGGGGGGGGGGGCCGGGGAACATTGAAAACACACATACGGATCCCGTACCCCCCCCTACTCGAAATCCGGGTCTTCGGGTTGGGTAGGGGTGTTTTGGTAGGTAGTCCTGCTCCATCATGTTTTTATCTACATCCGACCGACGTTCGGGACGGACGAAAGGGGGGGATCGGGAAAGGGGGGGTACGAAATCTGCTGCATGCAGCTGGCTTCGGCCCCACCGAGGGGCCCATTCCTCGATACATGGCCGCCTCCGGCGCCCGGAGGCGCCGGGAAAATCAGCTACGTGGGCGGATTCTCAAACCCGCCCTTTGCTAGCCCCCCGCTTCGCCCGGCCCGAGACGTGCAGGGAACGCTGCATACAGTGCCGTGTTCTTTTTATACATGCTCCGCGTGCGGATCATGTATTAAAATGCATATAAGGGGCTTTTAGAATTAAAAGCAACGATGAGTTAATGCATAAGTTTATTCATAAACTAATCATGTAAAAATCATATATATATATATATTATATAATATATTATATATATATATATATATATATCCGATGTATTAAAAAACTGCCTTGTAAGGAAGGGACATATATTATAGTCATGTAAAATCATGTAAAATCATATATAATATATAAATAAATCATGTAAAAATCATATATATATATATATATATATATATAATATATATATATATATACCGATGTGTAAGAACTGCCTTGTAAGGAAGGGACAGGCTTCCTCCGGCCACGGTGCGCCTCTTGCCCCGCAGCTGCGCGCTCGGGTGCGGGCGTCCCGATCACTCGGAGCGCGATGTTCCCGAGCGGGGTCGCTCGTGCCAGGCGCTCTCGGCCGCAGCGCTCCTCGCGAGCCCGCCGCTCGCCTCGGCCCTCTCTCCCTGGGCTATGCCGAGCTCCGGGCGTGCCGCGGGATCTCTCGGCCGTCGCGGCGCCTCCTCGAGCGCACCAGGTCGTCTCCCTCTGTGCTTCTGCTGCCGCCGCCGCCGTCGCCGTCGGCTTCGGATCGACCTCCTCCTCCTCCTCCTCCTCCTCTCCTCTCCTCCTCCTCCTCCTCCTCCTCCTCTTCCTCCTCCTCCTCCTCCTCCTCCTCATCATCATCATCATCATCGTCATCATCATCACCATCATCATCATCATCATCATCATCATCATCATCATCATCATCATCATCATCATCATAATCATCATCATCATCATCATCATCATCATCATCATCATCATCATCATCATCATCATCATCATCCTGCTCCTGCTCCTCCTCCTCCTCCTGCTTCTCCTGTTCCGCAGTCGGAGCAGCTCTGAAGCTCGCGCTGCCTCGCCGTGAAGGTCTCCGGCGGCCCCCCCATAGTGCCTGACCGCCGCGGTGCGGAACCAGGATCGCCCCCTCGGGCCACGCTCCACCTGCTCCTTCGCCTCCTCCTCCTCCTCCTCCTCCTCCTCCTCCTCCTCCTCCTCCTTCTCTTCTTCTTCTTCTTCCCGAAGCTGTGGAGCCCCCCTCTGAGGGCGCAACTGTCCACGCGGGAAGTCCCTACACTAGGGGAACAACAACGGCTGGAACTTTCCCAGCCACGCCTGGGAGGTAGCCCTGGCACATCCTTCGGACGGCACGCCTGCCCCACTCTCCAGGCTTGCAGCACGGGGCGAGGAATCCCTTGAGTTGCTTCGCACTGTGAGCACCACAGAGCGTACACGCAACCACGGGATGGGCCGCATCCTGAAGGGACTCCTCCTCCCTAAAAACAACTAAACGATGCACCTTCAAACCCTGCTCGTGCAAGCGCGCGTTGGCATCACGCGCACGCGTCGAGATCGACCCAGGGCAGACCTCGGACACGGGGGCCACAGCACGACAACGAGCACACCAGGGTTTCCTGGAAGGCCCTCTAAAATCATGAGGCAGCTGAGCAGGGACAACAATGAGGAGAGGGGGCGCGCTCACACGCGTGCGGCGCGCAACATGCGTCGTGTCACGTCCGTCCACATGCGCGCCCACCTCCCCAATCCTGTGCCCCACCTGCTCGACAAACTGCTCGGCCTGCTGCATGCGCTTCCTATCCTCGACAGGCGCACGCGCAAGCTGGCCTCCAAACTTCGCCCAAACGTCGGCTTGGAAGTTGCCGAAACGGTCTCGCCGTGTGATGCGGCCCGCATCCACGTCAGCCATCGTGCAGTGACTCTTGACTTTCCGCAACGAAAGACCAGCCTCGCACAGGCCGCCGAAATCAGCCAGGGCCCTCCAGAAGGCCCGCCAGAGGCAAGCCCAGGCGGAGGAATGGGCCGTGGTGGCCCTTTCCCCTCTCTCGGTCACTCCACGAAACACAAAATCAGAATCAGTGACGGCAGTGATCGGAGGCAGCGAATTCTGAATCAAGAAGATTAAGGCCTCCAATTCGGCCCCGTCGATGTCGAACACAGACTGCGAACACGTGCAGTACACAATGTCAACAACACCGAGAGGGGCCTCATCACGCAGAGTAACGACGGCCCAGCCTGTACAACTCAAACTACTCCACTGGCCTTCAAAGGCCGAACCGTCCAGGTAGGCTTCCTTGGCAATTATGACCCCAGGCCCCGCATGCTGATGCCAGACAACAGTGTCCTGAGCAGGGGCCCTCCACGAGGTCCGCGGGATGGGCCAAAGCGCCCTTTCCAGAAGCACTCGGACCTGGGACCGATCCTGAGCCTGAACCAGCGGAGTAAACGCATCAGGGCACGGTAGCTCCTGACATAAATTACACTCGAAGTGCCTGTGGACAAGAGTACCAGGCTTGCGGCAAATGAGACACTCATTGCTCAAAGCCTTCCTAGCTTCAAACTTCCTGACCATGGGCCACTGCCCACCAACAATGCACGAACGAAGGTACGCACGCGCCTCGGGTCCCAGGGTCGGAAGGTCCCGATTTTGGCCACAGCGAGGCCGTCCGCTAGAGACAGCCTGGACCAGGGGCACCCAAACCGCACCAAACTCCAGATGTTTCAAATCATCATGCTTCGCCACCTGTCGCCATTGCCAGGCCGTAGCGGCCTGAACTAAATAGTGTCGGATCACTCGAGGACAGAGCACACTGACATCAAGGTCTAAACCCTCATGCGTAGTCCACTCAAAGGCGGAGCGTATCGACCAGCCGACGCGAGCCAGCGACAGCCGACACGCACTGAAAGGACCAGACACTTGAGTCCAGAGCGAGACCGGCGAACTACCTTCCAGCCCATCCCGCACCACATGCCTCGGCACCCACCCCTCCCATATAGCTCGGCAGAGCGTGAGCACAGGCATCAAGGTGGCCCGAAAGATCGGGTCAGCATCCTTCTCGCGCATCAAGGCAAGAGTGCGGGACTTCCCAGCGGTGGCCCCAGTGAGACACGCAAGCGCGGTGCTACGCATCGTCTCAAGGTTCGAAGTCGAGCATCCTGTGACATTCATCCCATATGACATACTCGCCTCCAAACCCGAACGAGCAACCTTCCGAACTCCTATTCGTTTCTTCTGTCCCGTGCGAATGAGGCCAATCCGCCTCAGGCGCTGACGAGCACCTTGAATCCGAGATTTGCGTACTGCATGCCCGACACGCCGCCCACAAGAGAAATCAATTCCGAGGTTACGCTCATGCAGTGTAGCTTTTGTGCCCATTTTCGCCTGCAGACGTCGTGCAACCTCATCACGCACACACTGCTCATTGCACAACACACGTGATTTGTCAATATGCACACGTAAATCCACTGCAGCGAGAGCCTCCTGCAAGTCGAACGACGCCTGGACCAGCTCACGCGTGACTCTAGATTGCGTGCCAATCTTGTGGAATAGCAAGTCATCGACGACAATGGTGGGGACGACGGTACGGTGCATTCTGTACATGGAGTCAAGCGGCCGAACCAAAATCAGCTTGAGCATGCAAGTAGCCCAGCCGTCCCCTGGTAGAATGGTCTGCTCAACCATCATCGGAGACGAGACGACTTGGCCCAAACAACAAAAACGCCCAGCACGATATAACTCAACATTCAGCTTAAGCTGCCAG